CCCGGGCCGAGGCGGCGGCGACGGGCGGCCGCAGCTGTCACCGCGCCCGGGGAGGCCGCGGAGCGCCCGGGCAGGGCGGGCGTGCCCGGGGCCGCTGGCCCGGAGCGGGGATCGGGGCGAGGAGCGGGGGGCTCCGCGGGCAGCGCTGTCAAAGCCCGGGGGTCCAACGGGTGTCAGATCCTCCGGGGTCCGACGGGTGACAGGCGGTCCCGGTTGAACGGGTGCGAAATGGTCCGTGGTTAAATGGGGACGAGTGGTCAGTGGTCAAACGGGCGTGAAATGGTCAGTGGTCAGACGGGTGGTAGGTGGTTGGTGGTCAAATGAATGTCTAATGGGGGAGAAGGGGTCAGTGGTTAAACGGGTGTGGAGTGGTCAGTGGTCAAATGGGTGTGGAATGGTCAGTGGTCAAATGAATGTCAAATGGTCGGTGGTCAAACGGTTGGTGGTCAAATGAATGTCAAAGGGGGAAGAAGGGGTCAGTGCTCAAAAGGGTGTGCAATGGTCAGGGGTTAAACAGGTATGAAATGGTCAGTGGTCAAATGGGTGTGAAATGGTCGGTGATCAAACGAGTGACAAGTGGTTGGTGGTCAGATGAATGTCAAATGGGGGACAAGTGGTCAGTGGTCAAACAGGTGTGGAATGGTCAGTGGTTAAATGGAATGGTCAGTGGTCAAACGGGTGACAAGTGGTCAGGGGTCACACGGTGCCAGGGGCTGTGCTCGGACTGCAGCTGTCAAATCCTCGAGGTCAGGCAGGTGTCAGACAGTCCCCGGTCAAACGGGAATGAAATGGTCAGTGGTCAAATGGGTGTTGGATGTTGGTGGTCAAAGGGGTGTGAACTGGTCAGTGGTCAAGCAGGTGACAGTGGTCAGTGGTCAAGCAGGTGACAGTGGTCAGTGGTCAAACGGTGCCAGGGGCTGCGCTCAAATAGCGACTGTCAAATCCACTGGGGCCAAACAGATGTTGGATGGTCCCTGGTCAAGCTCCTGCTGTGGAGTGGTCAGTGGCCAAGCAGGTGCCGGTGGTCAGTGGCCAAGCAGGTGTCACTTTGAACAGGTGACAAGCCCTCGGTGGTCACTGTGCTGGCCCAGCAGCTGTCACAGCCTCGGTGGTCACACGGCTGCCGGGTGGTCAGTGGCCAGACAGGTGACAGATGGTCAGTGGCCAAACGCCCACTTCCAAGGGCACAAACTGAGCTGGGAGTGCTGGAGAAGAGCAGGGCTGGACTTTGAAGTGACCTCTGTGGTGGCCAGAGGCAGCTGAGTGGCCGAGCCAGGGTGTCTGACATGGTTCTGTGCCACCGGGCTTGGCGACAGCCAGAATAAAATAAACCAATAAAAGTCCCTTTGACAGTTTGCCAGACAGTAACTTTCAAAATGTATTAATCCTTTTGTAGCAAATCACTTCTCTTTGTACTCGCATCTGTCGCTGGCAAGGCAATTTTGCACAGTTAAATGCCTTGCCAGGAATAAAAAAAAAAATTAAAAACGGAGCAGGTTTGTGGGAAACTCCTGCTTTGGACCTGACTCCAAAACAAGGCCGTGGCTGAGGTGCAGGTTTTATGTTTGGTGAGATGGATCACCCCAAGCATCCTTGGATGTGTTGTGCAGCCTCTTTTTCATCCCTGAGACCCGAACCTTTCATGCTGATTGTGTTTTTCTCCCTGCTGGAATGTGGATATTGTTTGTTGACACGGATTTCTGATGTGGTGAGTTGTTAGTGTTGGCTTGTAACCATAGGAGTGTTCGTGGATTGACTTCTTGTTTTTCTCACTTGTGCAAACATTTTTTTGGTGGGGGGGGGGGGGGGGGAAGCAACAGTACAAAATGTTTGTTTTCAAAATAAACGGGATTATTGGTAAATTTTCCTCCTTCACCTCCCCGAGTGACAGGGACACGTTGTCGTAGAAATTCAAATTGTGTTTGTGGTTTGATTTCACTGAAGGAGGTTGGGATTGTTCAGGCAGCAGCTGCATCATTCCCAGTGCCACAGAAATTTACAATTAGGAAATACAAACTGCGCTCAGGCATCCTGAACACACGGGGATGTTTTGGTCTTTGACCAGGAAACAGACAAACCCTAACAAACCCTAGAGTGGATTTTCTTCTTCATCTGAAAATCGGGGTGAAACTTGTCTGTTATTCCTGGAAATGATGGAAGATGAAGGGCTGCAAGGATCAAGACCTGGAAATTCTGTCTCTGTTATTTAATCAACAGCATTTGGGTGACAATCCATTGCCTTGAGACAGCTCAGAGTGACTCTGGCGTGGGACTCCTGAGCTTTGTTTGCATTTTTTTTTTTTGTCTTTTTCCATTTGCGTTTGTGCCTCTCTGAACCTGAAATATTTGGGAAAATCAGAAGAAAATTCAGCTGAATTTTGGCTGTTTTAATGAGTTTAATAGTAAATATGGACCTTGTTTTCATCATCTCAAATACAAACTGACTTTTTGTGGAGTTGTGGAGTATCCTGAGCTGGGAGGGATTACCCAGCCCAGACACCCCAAAATCCCACTCTGTGCATCCCTGGGAGCATTGTCCAACCCCTCCTGGAGCTCCTGGGGCTGGGACCATCCCCTGGTGAGCACCTCAGAACCCTCTGAGGTAAGAACCAAAATCCCCAAATCCATCCCAAGTGCCTGGCCCTGCTGCATCCTTTTCTTGCTCTGGGGTAAGAACCAAAATCCCCAAATCCATCCCAAGGGCCTGGCCCTGCTGCATCCTTTCCTTGCTCTGGGGTAAGAACCAAAATCCCCAAATCCATCCCAAGTCCCCTGGCCCTGCTCCATCCTTTTAATTGTTGCAAACAACTGCCCTTGCCACAAACCATGACAGAGCTGTGTCTCTCTAATTTCTTCTCCCTTCTGTGCCTGAAAAATCTCCTCCAGAGCAGCTCTTGCCTGGATGTTCTGGAAGTGGAGCTGCAGGGACATTTTGGGTGTCCCTGTGGTGTCCTTCCCAACTGTGCCAAGCTGGGATTTGGTTTGGTCGCTTCAGGGCAGTCCCAAAAATCCCTGAATTTTTGCACTGTGAAATGTGAAAAGCACTGCTTGTGTTAGGAAAACAAATGTTTTCCTGGAGGATTGGAGGGAACCGACTCCTTGCAATTCTGCACATGCTGTTGTAATTAAGGCCCAGCCTTTCCTGGATCCTGAAATAATGGAATAAATCATGTGCTCACAAAAACTGCATGTGCTGAATGCTTTCCAGCTGGGATGGGATGGAGCTGGGTCCTGCATGTGCCATGGAACTAAAGCCCTGTGTTCTTTGCTCCTTGGAAGGTGTGGGAGGGTGACATTCCCTTCTGAGCTTTGTTTACAGTCTAATTTATAAATTATTTATTGCATTTTCAATTAAATTTCATTATTTTCATTTACTGCTCTGCCACTTTCCCCTGTGCCACTTCCTTCCCTGACCCACCAAGGGATGGCCCTGCCTTTTCTCTGCTCTCCTGCTGCCTCCATCTGCAGGCATGATGCTGAATTTAAGATGCAGGATGTCCAACTGTGCCCTGGCATTGACCCCCAAGCCTTGGAAGTGCTTTTGGAGCTTCTGTTTTTATTCTGGTTGGTGGGAAAACAAGCAGAATATTTTTGAGTTGTTTAAAAGGTGGATATTTGGGATGCAGGTGGATCAGCCCCCTGATGCAGGTGCATTTTTGAGTTGTTTAGAGATGAATATTTTGTGATATTAGCTGTTATAATTGAAGATTTTGTAATTTTTTTTAAATTTATTTTTCCTGTGGATGCAGGTGGATCAGCTCCCTGATGCAGGTGGAGTTTTGAGTTGTTTAGAGATGAATATTTTGTGATATTAGCTTGTTATAATTGAAGATTTTGTAATTTTTTTTGGATTTATTTCTCCTGTGGATGCAGGTGGATCAGCCCCCTGATGCAGGTGCATTTTTGAGTTGTTTAAAGATGGGTATTTTTTATATTAGCTGTTATAATTGAAGATTTTGTATTTTTTTTTTTTTTGAGGATCAGCCTCATTGCTGTGACAGCATCCACCAGCAGTGAAACTGAGGAGAGGTGATGTTTGAGGTCTGTTTTTACAGACAGGGAGCTGTGTCATCAGCTGATTTAATTAATTCCAGCCACTGATTCTTTCCTCGGGGCAAAGCTCAGAGGTCATTTCCCATCACTGACGCTGCTGATTCTCAGGTTACAGCCCCACACGTCCTTGCAGGGACACAGAATTCTGTTAATTCTTTGATGATTTAAAAAATGACAGCTAATGAAGACATCTGAAAATAAAACTGCAGCTTGTGGTGCCTGGGCTCTCCTGGCTGAAATGGTGACAGCTGTGTGGGATCCAGATGATTCATCAGGGATCTGGGGACACATCCTGCAAGAGGAATTCCTCTCTGTCTGCTCTTAAATATTTGGTATTTCCAGAGCTTTGCTTGTAAAACACTTATCAGTAAATTCCAGGATCAATGTGGAGGATCCAGGCAATTAAATATATTTAATTTTCTGTAAAATAACCTGGTTGGAGGCTTTGCTGTTCCAGTGTGGGCAGGAGAGATTCAGCGAGGAACTGAACCATCCTAAAGACATTTTCTGTCCAGAACTGGATAAAAATTCCTTCTTGTTGTGGTTCCTGTGAGTGGGGCAGGAGGAGCAGCAGCTGTGTCTGCTCTGCCACCCTTTGGGTGAGGTTCAAATCCTCATTCTTTCCATTGTGTGCACTAATACTCCTCTGATTATTCTTCTGCAGGGACTCCTCCAAGGAGTGGCTTTTTCAGCATTCCTTTGGTATCAGC